ACCAGAAACCTCTGTAGAAGAAATGTAGGGATTTCCTTGAGTGGTAGCGCCATCTGCTGGTTGTAATAATAATTACATGGATTTTACAATCAGAATCAGGAATAAAATGAATATCTCCTCCTTCATGCTGTCAGAAAAACATCAACACTGCTGAAAAATCCCTGAAATAAAATCTAATTTTTATATATATTACAGAAGCATAACTCACACAGAAGTTAAAAATACAACCTTTAATTTGAGTTTATTCATTTGGGTGTTTGAAACAGGAAGTCATGATTATTAATTAGAAGTTTGAAGTTTCACCAGTCGTGATTTTGTCCACCATGTTTGTTTTGTGTTCACTGTGTGTGAGGAAGAGCGGACAGCAGGCGAGAGAGGAAGGAGGGCGACTTCCTCTTCAGGCCGAACCGCCATCTTGTTACCGTAGACAGAACGTCAACGTTCTGTAACGTAGCGGATCCAGAAGAACGACTCAAAGATGGATGGAGGCGGCCATCTTTCTTTTACTGCAGGTCAGCTGCTTTGGCTTTGCAGACGGTTGCCTTGGCAACCTCTCTGGAATTACTTTATGTGTCCAGATTATCTGTCCAGATGATTACATTTATATTAATCTCTGAATTTGTATCAATCTTGCACTGTGGGCCCCACCACACCAGGCCAAGGTCCATAAATGGCCCCCAGGCCACACTTTGGAAACCCTGTGCTCCTTTCAGTTTCAGATTTGATATTTAATTTGGGGGTGTCAGAGTTAAGACATGCAGCACTTTATGGATTTTATTATATTAAAAATTATAAGTTATTCTGCTCTTTGTGTTGATCTAGTTCATAAAATCCCAGTAAAACCTTCTGAAGTTTGGCTCAAACATCACAAAATGTACAAAAACTGCCTCATAACCTTTTTTTTCTATTGGTTTTATAATAGTACAGATTTGTCAACAAGAAGAAGGCTTGATCCAGAGCAGGATCATTAAAGATGTTTTTCAGGCTGACTGCTGGGTGGAGTCTGTAAAATCCGTCCAGACTTCCAGGATCGGTTCCCGCTGGAGGAAAGTTCCTGAGTCAGAGAAACCACAGCTATGTGCCGGCCGGCCGGGGCTGCAGCACATGGATCCTCCCCTCGTCTGGAAGCTGTTGGAGTTTTCTTCCAGATGTGGGAGTCTGGTTTCCTTAATGACACCCTGGTGCATGCTGGGAGTCTTTGTGACGGAGTTGCAAAGAAAGCTGGACAGCGTTGAAATGCAGCAGCTCTAAATGTTTTCTGGTGTTTAGTTTTCTCCATTTTTCCTTTAAATCCAGTAGTAATGGTAGGAAACTCCACAGTGAAACATCTGGGAGACATTCACAGCGTTCGCTTCAACAACAGGTGCCTCTGAGTTGGTCATCCTCCAGAGAGAGCCGGCTGTCCAGCTGTCTGCCACGCAGCATATGACCACACTCACACGCTTACTGAAACGTTGCAAACTGCTTTTTTTTTCTTTCTCTCTGTTCTTTTAGACAGATTTGTCTTTAAGTCTTTAAAAAGTTTCCAAAACAATGTCTGGGAAGCTGAAGTGTAAAAGTTTTCATCTGCAGAATTCACTCACATTTACCTCAAAATCCTGGAAAAATATATCCATAAGAAGGAAAAGTAGGTTGGAAATGCTTGTCAAGACAACAAGACAATGAAGATAAAAGACAAAAACTGATTTTAAAGGGGAAAACAAAATCATTTGGTGGAAAAATAACCCTCAACCTCGTCCTGAACACATAGTGGTGGCAGCATCATCCTGCAGCACTTTCCAACAAGACAACAACTCTAAACATCCAGCTGGAGATATTATGGATGGCTTAGATCAGATCCGTTGTTAGATGGCCTATTCAAAGTCCAGACCTAAATCCAGAGTAACGTCTGTGACTTGAAAACTGATGCTCTCCATCCAGCCTGTCTGAGCTCTGATACAAAGAATGGAGAAAACATCTGTAGATGTTTAACAGACCTGGACTCAGGTGGGATTAATACCAACTCAAACATTTTCAGAATGTAGAAAAAATTAGTTTTCTTCCACTTCCACATAAAATCCCAATAAAAATATTTTTCAGGAAAAGTTTAATAAATACTTTTACAAGCGACTGAAATCAGATTTTTTTCTCTTTTGGTTTAAAGTGAGACATGCTGGTTCTAAAGTGGAAAGTGTTTCTTTGTTCCGTCTGACTCGCAGAGGGTGTGCGTTCCCCGGCAGAAGGCGGGGTTTTCTCCCTGGGGTTCTGGCCCCGCCGCGTTATGTAACAGATCCGCTGCTTCCCATCCTGATGGCTGTTGGAAAGTTCAGGCTGCGGCTCTGAGCTGGTCCTGTGGACATGCGGGGACGCTTCCAGCTGTGCGTCTGCAGGAATGTCCTCAGCCACATCTGCTCCGGCGGATCTCCGTCTTTAACCCGCTAAGTTTCCAGCGCGGCCTGGGTGGGGAATGCGCTGCCTGAGGGAAAACTCGGAAACAGGAGTTGGTTTTTAGAAGCGATGGGAAGCGGAAGCAGCAGAGGGAAGAAAGTTACACCTGCGTGTGTCAGCGAGGTGAGGCTGTCCAAGGCAGGAGGAGCTGGTGTCCATCCATCCCCGCAGGCCGGAGGGCCGTTCAGCCAACACAAGGTTCACTGCGCGCAGCCGGAGAGCCGCGGCGAGGGGCCCCACTCTGACGATGACACGGACAGACGGGGGGCTCCTGTCAGGAAAACCCCGCCAAGGAGAACGTTCACCAGGTCCAGGACATATGGACTGTGTCCCTTCAGCGGGGGGGACACGGAGGACGAGCCGAGCTGTCCGCCACAGCTGGAGGAGCCACGTGTCCCATGGAGCGTGGATGTAAACAAGAGGAGCGACTGCGTGTTTACGCACAGGACGCAAGTCAAACCTGCAGGCTCCACTCAGCGTCATGTAAGACTGAAGTTCTCCGACAGTCACACAGGAAACAGTTTTATAAAGTTAAAGAGATTAATTATTATTCAGGTCAGTTAAAGTCAGAATTAGCCTGAATTAACAGAGCGAGTTGAGTTAGACAACAAGGTGGAGGTTTACTTTTCATTTTAATTCATTTATGCCACAATTCAAAACTAAATATTTAATTAGCTACTTTTTCAGGTTGGTACGAAATATTTCACTATTGAAAAATATTTTGCATTTTAATTAAAGGGAAACACAACATTTGATTAGCAATTTAAATATCTAAATAGCAGCTAATTACAGCTCCAAATTAAACATCTTTGCTTTCTAAGTAAAGGGAAACAAATACTTAGTTAGCAAGCGCAATATTTAGTTTACACACTAATATTTAGATCCATATTAAATATTTATTTAGTTAGCTAGCCAAATATTTAGTTACCAAGCTAATTGTTTAATTCCAAACTAAATATTTTTGCTTGCTCAGTAAGAAAAAACTTAATATTTAATTAGCAAGTTAAATGTTTAGCTTCAAACTAAAAGTAACTAACTAGTGACATCTGAACTGGTTTGTTTTATTTTGGGGTATTAGTGTAAATTAGTGTAAATATGGATGAATACAAATGCATTTTTAATTTACTTTTAAAATCTTGAATCAGTCTCTTAAAGATGTAATGACTAACTAAACTAAATTAACTAAACTAAATTAACTAATGATTGGTTAGTTAGTTAGTTAGTTGTTTATTTAATTTGTTGGTTAGTTAGTTAGTTAGTTGTTTATTTAATTTGTTGGTTAGTTAGTCAGCTGTATAAATTGGTCTTTAAACTGCTAGCTTTATGTTCATGTGTAAATTGACATTTTTATGTAAATGTTTCATTTTGCAGCATTTGGCCTAAACCCGTCTCTGTGCTGCCCCCTGTAGGTTGAACAGTGGCTACTGCAGTCAAATTTTCCTATTGGCTAAAGTTTAGTTACACTTTAAGATAAATGTATGAGCTACTCTGTGTTGGTTTGTCATCAGTTAAACAACTTGAATATTGTCTTCAAGTATTCAGGGTATGATAAAAGTTTTACATTAATCTGCTTCAGTCGCTGTTTTGTCTCGTTTGTCCTCTAAGCCGGCGACCCAGAAGTTCTCAGCAGGAGGAACATTCTTGGAAAGCGCGCCGGGGTTTGATAAACAGCAGTAAGTGGACGGCTCTCATTAATCATTCATATCAGAGCTCAGTGGAGGATGAAACAAGCGGTGACCAGATCAAATTCACCGTAAAGGGACCAGGACACCAGCGGGAGGCCATTAACCTGACAACTGGTCCTGTTTCACAATAACGTTTCGCTTTTAATCACCTTTTAATCCACTTCCTGCAGGACGTCTGGCGCCTCCGCCGCCATGCCCGTCATCCTGTACGACGGCTCAGAAGAAGAGCTGATGGACACTATTGAACAGGAGTTCAGCTGACTGGTCAGCAGAAGTAAAGACAACCATCTACAGTTTTAGATAACGGTATTGGGTCCATGTAACCTGACCCTCTGGCTCTGGCGGCCTTATTTAACAGCTTGAAGCCTGTAATTGCAGCAGAGACTTGGCCTGATGCTAGGAGGCGCAGTGTGAACAGACGCAGACCTCCCTGGTTCGTCATGTCATCCCATTACTCCCAGCAGGCTCCCTCAGAGCCTGCGTGTTTGTTTCCTATGGTTCAGAAACTTTCTTTTAAACCAGGAAATGAGTGACCGCAGAGAACAGGCCCCTCTTAAGACTTTATTTAGTCAGATAAAGTTTTTGGGTGCAATGCTGGACTTTAAACTGTCCTGGCTGCTCTAGGAAAGGAAATATTTGCTTCCATATTTCCCCGACCCGTTCCTGCACTTTTTCAGACGGACTGTGGCACCAGAACGATTTGCAGCCTTCACAGCTGCATTTCTGCTCCACATTTCAGCCAAACATGAGAAGCTGCTGCCACTCGGTGGTTCAACATGGAGCTGCACGAGTCAAACAAAAAATGTAGTTTTTCTTTTTTCATGCAAAATAAAATAAAATAAAAAACCTAAAGAAACATCAGGCTGTGTGTGAATAATCTCTATGAAATGATTTTCAAACATCTTATTTAATAAACTGCCATCACATAAACAGAACATGACTGTTTGGACACAAACGCTGTACAAAATCAAATGTATATCTGTAAAATAATCAAATAAAACCCCATAAATATATCTGCACAGTGTGTCTTTTAATTTAAACTAGTCGCCGTATATGACATTGTGATGTTTTGGCATTTTTTGAAGGTTTAATTGTTGCTCTGCTTCTTTGAGGGCCGGTAGAAAGAAATCCTCCTCTGCAGAGCCTTTTGCATCTTGGGAGGAAGAAGAGGAAGCTGCTTTCTCAGCCTCTCCAAGGTCCTCACATTCTTAGCAATGTAATCCTCACAGATCCTGTCGGGGACAAAAAATGTCAAAAAATTACATTTCCACATCGAGAGAGAATGTCCGATTTAACATGACCAAAGTTTTCTAATTCCAAACTGAAGTTTCCGGCATTAAAACCGTCGTTATTCAGAGGAAAAAACATGTGACACAGAAGGATAAACAGTTAGTTAGTTAGTTAGTTAGTTAGTTAGTTAGTTAGTTAGTTAGTTAGTTAGTTAGTTAGTTAGTTAGTTTTCCTGTTTCCTCTTCAGCTTCATGAGGTGAAGTTTGTTACCTGAACAAAGGATGTGGCTGCATCTGGAAAACAAGAGCGTCGTTGCAATGTCCCTGAAGAATATAGTTACACAAGATTATTATAATTATTTCTTTTTCCACTTTACTGTATCTTGATACAGTCAGTGCTGCTCAGTCTGATGTAACGTTAGCAGGAGACGCTCACCGTGTCAACTAGCAGGATGTAGTCGCAGCTTCCACCAAACACAACCACGTCTGAGTCTCTGCCGCCGCAGGCTGTGTGCCACAACCTGACACAGGAAACACAATTCATGTCTAAAATAAAACTGGGTGAACACGATTTAACTCAGACTGGAGCTTCTCTCATCAGACAGGGTCAAAAATATACATACATGCTCAAATATATAAATTCAGTGGTTGGATGTCTATGAGAGAAACTTTCTGGCTGCATATTTACCCTGACAGAGCAGTTTAGCTTACAATTAAATAAAAAATACACTAAATAATTAATTATTAAATACTCAATCAAGTAAATAAATGTCCCCC